AGCCTTACCGTCGTGGCTCCTTGCTTCTCCCAGAATAAAAGCCAAACTAGGCCTTGCGCCTCATGCCTGCAATGCCAGCATCTGGATGCTGAGGAAGCAAGCTCAGCCAAGAATTCAAGGCCAACTTTGGCTTTATAGTGAGTTCCAGGTCAGTCTAGACTACAGAGTGAAACCCTGTCTCAAAAATGATGTCCACCAAAACAAGAATTGTCCAAGTCCTCACATGGCTCACAGGATCCTGTACAGTCTGTGCCCCTCATCAGCCCTCTGACCTCATATTCATTTTTTTTTTCTGTGTGTCTGTCTGCCTCAGCACCCCCATGCATTCTGGCCTCAGGACCTTTGCACATGCTGATGAGGTGTGCCAAAACCCCCAGCCAACCCCACCCTCCCACAGAAGGAGCTACTTTCGCAGGGCTGTTTCCCCAGGCCCCACCTCTGCCTTCCAGCCAGAACACCAGCTACTGGCATTTCTATTTTAGACATGGTGGGCCCATGGTCTCCCCTCGTGGAGGGCATGGGTGGCCTGGTGAGTTTGCTGCTGCCCCCAAGCTCCCGATCACACTCATTCCTGCCGCTGTCCCCGTCACAGCACGTGTTCTGTGAGGAGTGTCTCTGCCTGTGGCTGGACCGGGAGCGCACCTGCCCGCTCTGCCGCTCGGTTGCCGTGGATACCCTGCGCTGCTGGAAGGATGGGGCCACGTCGGCACACTTGCAGGTGTACTGAGCTGAACACAAGTGTCTGGAGATGCCAGAGGGCCCGGCACGGCTGAGCCCAGCCCCGAGGATTCCTGGGAAAACCTCCAGCGCTTTCTCCTGCCTTCCACCACCTCCACCTGATGGCCCCAGGGTCTCCCCACCGACAAATTTCTCATCACCCTGGTGCAGTGTGTGCATCCTGCCCCGCCAGAAAGGGAAGCCCTCCTCACTCAGGCGTGGCTTCCCTGCAGGTAGGTGGTCCGTCCCCTCGAAATGGAGGAATTGCCCTTACACAATCCCCCCTTATTTAACTGCTCCCAGCTGCTGCTGGTACTCGATGCTACAAACCGGTATGAGCTGAAAGAGTGCAGCCTCTCGCACGTGACCCAGGTCTGCAAATGAGAGCCACTGGGGAGAAAGTTCAACACGTGAGCACCAGGCTTCACCCACCTCCGGGAGATCACCGAGATAAGAAGTGAGGTGTGGTCACCCAGCTAGCACAGGCCGATGGGTCTCCGGCTCTGCCTGGTGCTGTTGCTGCAAGTACAAGGAACAGCAGAGCTAGCTTGTCGAAAGCACAGAGGCTGTTCTGTCCCCACACTGGCTGAGGATCAGTGGCCTGGGCACACAGCGGAGGCAGACTCTGCTGAGCGCGCAGGCTCTGAATGCTGGCTCCTGAGGTCAAGTGGTGGGAGCCGTGGAAAGACTTGACCTTCCCGAGTCCTTGTTTCCCGGGCTCTGCCAGGGACAGCCCATCTCCAAAGGGTCCAGAAGTGCATGCTACCGGGCCTCTGTCATCTCTCCTCTCCTCATTCTCTTCTGTACTGTCCCTGCTGACAGCTCAGGCCTGGTGCAAAGCTCTGGTGGACATGGCTACCCCTCCTGGGAGCCTTGGGGAGCTAACAGTTCAATCCACGTCATAGATGGCACACGGCTCAGGAGCACTCAGTCCATTTTTCCTTCCCTCTCTCTAGTGAGTTAATTAGCTCTGAGAAACAACAGTCCTTCCAGAGTCTCTAAAAGACTGCTTTATATCTTTAACCGAACGCCGGAGATGGACCACAGGGAACGCTGGGAGCAGGCACCCAGGTGCACTTCACTCAAGTCTCTAAGACACAGCTGCTTCTCCCGTCTCTCTGCTTGGAAACCTGGGTTAAGATAGCACAGGTGACCGCACAGAAGCCTCTGGAAGCCTGCCTTCACCCTCTCCCAACTCTGTTCTCTCATTGTCGACATCCTGAAGACAGGCTGGCCCCAGCCACATTTGAGAAAACAGTGAACAGCTAGTGGGCAGATTAGCATACATGCCCTGGGGGAGATGGGGGCCTCACTGCCATCTCCCTCCCCCACAGTAGATTCAGGACTCATGCCCCCCCCCCAACCCCTCTCCTGGACTTTTTCTTTTGCTTGGTCTCCTTGGCTCTTTCCTGGTACCAGCAAGACACCCTTTCCAGGAGACCACGGCATTCTTTAAGCTCTGTTACTATGGCAATAGCCGTGATGTTAAACAATCTCGCTGTCTGGATGTTCTAAGAGGAGAGGGAGGATGGGTCCCTCTGTTCTCTCTGGCCCGAGGGGGTACCTAGGGAGAGCAGTGGAGCCGCCTGCAAGTTGTTTTTATCAGAGAGATCGCTTTGTCTGCATTGTGGAGGGGTCGGAGCTGGGGGAGACTCACAGAAGTGTAGTGTCGGGTAGAGCAGAGGCAGCCATTGGAGTTCAGGCTTGGGAAAGGCGACTCGAAGCTCTGCATGACTCCTCGATGTCCCTATACCCTGTAGCCATCAGTAGGGCCACAAAACCTAGCATGTTACATGCTGGGACCGAGAAAGCTAACAGATCTTCAGGTGTAGTTCAGTGAGTAGAGCGCTTGCCTAGCATGCAGGAAGCCCCGAGTTCCATGCCCGGCACCACATAAACGAGGCATGGCTGTGCACACCTGTCATGCCAGCCCTGGGAATTAGAGGCAGAAGGATCAGAAGTTCAGGGTCCTTCCTTGGCTACAAAGCAAGCTCCAGTATAGCCTGGATTACATGAGACTTTAAAAGGGAGAGAAAATGTACACTAACAGGGTGGGTCACTGATGAGTGCTCCAATGGTTTTACCACCCACCCCCATTACTTTTCTAGCACTGTGTAAATATAAACTATACACCTGCCATATAAAGAATGCCACAGGTCGGGGCATTCCCTAGAGACAGTGAGCTGATGGAGTCTAGGATCTTATTTGCTCATATATCCCGTCAGGGGTTTTCTTCCAGGTTAGATGACTCCTCCTCTGCCCTAGCAAAGGCAGAGTTTCCCCGCACACCGAGCTATGGGAAGGGTGTCCCCCGGAGAACCCTGCCACAGTCCTCGTCTGATTGGCACGTGAGTCCTTTGTATCGAGGGGTTCTGTCTCTGGCTCCCAGTATTTTGTGGGTCACAGGCTCAGATGGCACTGAGTCCCCAGCGTCTTGTTTGTGCAGAAGAACCTGAGAATAACGGATGTAGGGAGGGGCCGGAGAGAGGGCAGAGTGGTTAAGAGTGCTTACTGCACCTCCCCGGGCCTGAGTGCAGCTCCCAGCTCCAGCTCCAGGGAATGAGAAGCTCTCTTCTGGCCTCCATGGGCACCGGCACACATAGGGCGTGTACAAGTGTGTGTATGTGGGGGGAGGAGAGAGGCCCATGCACACACACAATTTCAAACAAAATAAATCTTCAAGAAGTGTGTGGGGAGAAGAGAAACCTGCTTTGGACAGAGGTTAACAGGGCCAGCCTTTTCCAAAGGGAATGACACACAGGTATGGAGCCTTGGGAACTTCCCGATGCTAAGGGCAAAATGGGCGGCAGTCCTGAGGTCTGCGGTGCTTTCCTTTGGGACACGTGGGCTATCTTTGGTGTCTTTGAGACCGTTCTGCCAATAAACCTCCCCTGTGGACGCAACTTGTATTCGTGGGTCAGTCTGCCTCCTGAAGCCAGATAGACCTGTTTCGGGGCATGCGGCACCCGTGGGGATGCAGCGGGTGATTCTCCCTAGAGAAGCCGAGAAAGGAAGAAGAGAAAGTGGGTTGGCTGTGCAGGTGCCTCGTAGGGAGGATGCTTGCCACAGAAGCATGAGGACCGAGTTTGGATCCCTAGAGCCCATGTACCCCCGTAAAAAGCCGGGTGTGGCAGCAAATCTGTGGGGGCGGGAAGACAGGCGGATTCCTGGGGCCAGCCAGCCTCGCTCCGAATTCAGAGATCCTGCCTCCAAACGTGAAGTGGAGAGAGACACATGAAGACACCGAGTGTTGACCTCTGGCCTCCCTATCGACATGTGTGCACACACACACACAAGAGTAGAGGTGAGGGGGAGCCATGCTGGACGGTCACTTCTGGGGAGACGGTCTCCGGGGACATCCCAAAGGAGGCTCGTAGCATAGGCTGTGTCTGAGACTACCCCACTCTGACCTGAGTACCCACAAAAACACACCAGGGGATCCTTGACTCTGAATTGAGGGGGCCTTCGGGGCATTTTGACCTGTCACTCTGGAGGCCCCACATCTCACTGCTGGCCAGGTTCTGTCATAGCACACCCCACTACTGAGTGGGGGTGTGGAAGTGGTGGTCAGGAAAGGGGTGCCATCACAGCACACCCCACCGCTGGATGGGGGCGTGGAATTGGTGGTGATCAGGAAAGGGGTGCTGTTACGGCACACCCCACCGCTGGATGGGGGTGTGGAATTGGTGGTCATGGTTCACAAGTACAGTGAGACTGAGAGGAGGATTTATAGTGAACTCGATCTCAAAAACCAAACTAATTTAGAGAAGTAAATACAGAGCTTGCCAGGGATCTAGACAGGGGTGGAAACCTCTGTGTAAATTAATAGCATCAGGTGACAGTTGTGCCCCTAAGGGACTTGCTAGCCACCTAGCCTGGCTGCCTCAGCAAGCTGCAGGGCAATGAAGAGACCCAGCTTCCAAAGACAAGGTGGAGCTGGGCACAGTGGCACATACTTTTAATCCCAGCACTTAGGAGCAGAGACGGGTAGACCTCTGAGTGCCTGGTCAACTTACTGAATTACAAGTTATCCAGGGCTACACAGTGAGATCCCATCTAAAACAAAACAAGTGGACAGCTCCTGAGGTTGACCTCTCACCTCCATGTGCAAGCACACATGAGCACACACACAAATGGGAGGATAAGGGTGTGGCCTTCTGCTCTCTGGCAGGCTGAAGGGGGCCTATGCAGGTCAGGAATCAGCTGTCACTGTGCAGCCATGGTCCTCTCGTGGTCTCTGAGACCCCACCTTCCCAGAGGAAATGAACACGCAAAGGCCTTCATGAGAGGTGCACAATCAATTTTTTAATAAAAGTGTAACAAATATGTACAAAGCGTCCAGGTAGGAAATTCCCCTTACAAAAGAGCACAAGGCAACAATGTCGGGACCCAGACAGAATGTCCCCCAAGTTAACTGCCTCTCCCCCAAGGCTCCAAATGCCCTCACAGCCACCTCTGCCGTGTATATGGGCTCCTTGACTCTTCTAGTGCAAAGACCTCGGGGGTCTGGGGTTCGGGGGAGAAGACAGATGAGAGAGGTAAGAAAAACATCCCACAGCCTAGGAAGTGAGTGGGACAGGCCATTTGCACCTTAGACAAGCCCTTACGCCCCCGGGAGTTTATTGAAACTGAGGGCAACCCCTGAAGTCATCCATTCTGCTCTCAAGTGTCCCCAAATAAGGTGTTCTTCCCATTGAGCTTACGAGACACTCCATGGTGGCCACAGGTGTGTCCTTGCCCACCTGCCCTCGAGCTAGAAAACCTTGCTACCAAACACAATGCTTGCTTTTAAATGAGCAACATCAGAGCCCCTTGATATAATACGGGTACCTCACTGGCTTGGGGGATCACACAGACTCAAAATGCCAACCTTGGCTCAGCCACCTCGCTGTCGGCTGCCTTCGGCTTCCTCACCTGTAAAATGGGATCAATGGTACTAGCACTAAGGCAGGGAATCTCTCAGGAAAGGCCTTGGAAAGCATCTCGTGCAGCGCTCGGCGGCAGCGGCGGCACTCACTCTGTGAAGGGGTCTCTGATTATTGTACAAAGGGACCCATCTTCCTGCTGAGGAGAGAGCGTAGCAAGCTTTTTAATTGCATTCAGCCCAGAGCGTGGCATGCAGAAAAATACCATATAGCAATCTGCCAGCAAGGCGTGGGGTCACAGTGGTGACCTGGCAGATCTGTTAGAAATTATGAGCCAGACTGAAAAGGGACATTTCATGGCATCTGGTCTCCAAAAGGACTGTTGCTGTACCATGACTAAGTTTGTCCCGAGATGGAGGTCTCCGGCTGGCACGCTGTAGCTGCTCAATAAACAGGTGTCAACGGAATCGATTAAAACGTTTAAAAAGATAAACTTTTGGCTAACGCTTTCAAAAGACACTGTGATGTCAGCGTACCCTCTTTGTGGGGCTTCTGATCAGCTCGAGTGGGAACAATCTGCTTTCCCTCCATCCCTGCCTCCCCAAATCCTCCACTGACTTCTGACCCCCTGGTTTCCCCCAATTTGACTTCGGGCTCAGAAAAGAAAACAGTATGAACACAGAAGAGAACCTGTGTTGTGGTCACTGCAGCTTCTAACCGTTCACTCTGGACATTCAAACAGTCCACAGCACAAGCCAGGAATGGTGGCCCACACCTATAATCAGGAGGCAGAGGCAGGAGGATCAGGAGTGTAGGGTTAGCCTCTGCTGTATAGTGAGTTCAAGACCAGTCTGGGCTCCATGTCTCAAAAAAACCAGTAACAACAAACATAAATAGTCCACAGTCGTGACTCAGTGTCTCCCAAAAGTACGCATGCAGGGTGCTTCCTCCCTCAGTTCTCGGTGAGGAAAGGGACACGTGGTCCATTTCAGAGACATGACCATAGAGTCAGGTGCACACGAGACATGAGCTCAGCTGTGTGACGTGGCATCGGGGCATTCACATCCTCTTTATCCTGCAACAGTATGTTTAAGTCACCATCCCTCAACACAATAGAAACAGAACAAGGCTATCCACAGAGCTGAGGAAGAAGTATGACCCACGACAACGATGACGCTGGGGGAATGGTGACAGGAAGTATTGGGGGGGGGGCTCCTGGATCAGGACACTGCCTGTACTGCGCTCTCCAAAAGAACCCTGACTCAGACTCCATCTAGACCAAGGGAGATGGAACCCCAAACTTTGAACAGAGCTCTTGCTTGTTGAGGATGAGGTAAAGGAGGGAGGCTTCCAGAAGGGAGTGGACCTACTCTGGAAGGCTTCAGTCCCACAGACTCCAGGGCCCTCACCCTCAGAGAGCAGGCAGCCGCTTTTGGACCCAGGTGGCAGATAGCGCCTCATCTCCTCACACAGCCAGCTCCCTGGCAATGATCTCAGAGGCCTCCTAGGCTTTGCATGGACACATACCACACACACACACACACACACACACACACACACACACTCTGCTGCAACCCAGCATGAGGTCTTTTTAAAATTTATTTCAAAGCCTCTCTCCCTCTCTTTCCTTCTTCACAGACTCTGTGGAGAGGCAAATCAAAATCAATGCTCCTTGGCAGCCAGGGGAGGCAGCGGATAAAGGCAGGGCTGGTGCCAGCATTTCACACACTGTGGAAGTTTTGGGTTTTGTTTTTTTTTTTTCTCTTTGTAGTAACACCGTCAACAGAAAGCCCATCCCCCTATCTCATGCAGTCCAAGTAACACCACATCAGAGACCGTGGAGACGAGAGAGACACAGCTAGCATGCTTCAGTATCCTAATACAAATGTCCATCAAGAAGTCAAACCTCATATAAAAACAGCATTTAAAAACAACCCCCATCAAATTCGGGGCAGGACTCAAAGGAAAGGCGGAGGCGGCATGCGAGCCAAGCCTCAACCACCCGCACCCCCCCCCCCAGATCCGATAAATATGTGGTTTCCATTACTACAGGAGAGTATTTACAGAGGACTTGGCTGAAAAGCTCCATCGGGAGGTCATGGGTGCCCGGGTTCTCTCAGCAACACAGCTTCATTGAAATGAAAATCACCGGATATGCCAACCCCTGTGTTTGGAGTTCACATCCTCCAGGGAGATATCGTCCGCTAACAGGCAATGTCAGGCTCAAAAACAAAACACAAAAAGGGAGGTATTCTCTGACCTCTCACCCTCGCGCTGGGTTTCTCCGGGGTCAGCATGTCCCCACTGCCATCTTGACGATATCTCTTTAAAGGGGCTGACATTCTGTGATCTCCACCATAGCAAGCACCTTCCCTGGAAATACAGTGCTTTGCAAGGGCTCTGTTCCTCGCTAGGAAAGGGACTAAATACAAACAGAGAGCGTTTTCCAGATCATTCTATGTCATTCCGGCTTGGCGAGGGCATGGCCTGCTGCCTGCTGCCTCCCTGCCAAATAAGCTATTTATTTTCCTTTGCCGAGTTCAGTTCTGGCAGCTAAGGCGGGGTGGGATGGGGTGGGGAGGGCATTGAGTTCTCAGTTGCGTTTTCTTTAATAGGTTATTTAAAGAAATATAAGGCATGGATTCGACATGGAGAAGGAGGAGGGCGCAAACTGGGAGAGTGCGCACTTTAGGACCTGGTCACGCTTGGCATAGTTGGTGGGACCATTCCCCTTGTAGCCCTGTGCACCCTAATAACTAATGCTTCCTAGCAGATCCCCTGATCCCCAGGCACCATGCATCTGTGACCTGCAGATCCAGCCAGGGGAAAGTGACTGTCCCCTGGCAGGCAGTGTCCCAAATGCCAGATGTCAAGACAGGAGGCTCAAGGACGGAGGTCAGCCTGGGCTCCAGGGCCAGACCTTGTCTCCGAAATTTAAAAAGGGGAAAAAAAAAAATCAAAACTCAGACTAACTGTCTCACTGAGCCCACAGCAGGCTCCCTCACCATCACCTCAGCCACAAAGACTGCCACGGAGGTAATAAAATATCCGTGCAGAGGAATAATACCTGTTTCTGTTGGGAAAAAAAATTTTTTTCTTTTAATGAAAGCAAAAATTAAATCATCACTTCTGAAGCAGTAAGCCTTTGCAGCCAAATATCAGTCAGGCGCACAGCTTCATTTTACATATATATATGTATTTATATGTATATTTATATTAGCCCTTCTAGAAACTTCTGAAAACAGTAGCTTATCCTATGTGTGTTTGAGGAGCAGGGGAATCGGACATTTCATTTAAAAGGTCCGCCTCCCCCCTCCCCTAACATCCCCTGCTTATAAATCACGCTCCATCAGAATGTAGCCGTTTCTTGGCTCTTTAATCTATAAAAACCTAAGCCCTGAATCCCCTTAGGAAGTGGGGGAGGCCACAGCAGTCTCTCAGGGTACGGCTGCAAGGGGGAGGGGGGACTGCCATCTCCTAGGCAGCTTCTGTATCCTAGCTTACCCCTCCTCCCTCCCAGGCCCCCAGGGGGTGGCTCCTAAGCCCCAGGGAGCATTCCCCCTCCCCCGCATAGAGACTCTCCAGTGGTACTTTTGTCACTTGGCCCTTTAAAAAAAAAAGAGAGAGTATATCCAAAGAGCAAAATAGAAACCTGTCATCCCCCGGCCGTCGTCCGGGTCTGTCACTACGACTCTGGCCATGCCAAGGACACACTTAGCACCAAGAAAATTGAAGTGAAGCACCACACACACCAGATAGGTAGGAAAAGAAAATGACATCCCGTTTCTCTGGCTGTGACCAACCATGAGAATCTAGAGAGCTGTCTAGACAGGGACAGAGAGAGAGAGGATGGGACATGTCAAGAAATGGAGGCTGCCCCCAACCAAACGCCCCACCCCCACCCCCATCTTCGTCCATCTCGCCTTTGGCGGGCGCTCTCACTACTTCACGCCAGCATCTGTCCTGGGCGCTTGGTCCATGCTGAGGCTGATCCCACCGGTCCATGTGAGTTTTTTCAGCCTCCACACAACAGCAAGCATCTCTCTCCCCTGCTGCCCCAGACGTTACAAAGTCTCAAAGTTCACATTGCAAGGTGCGGAAAGGGGAGGGACCACGTCTCCCCGCAGGCATGCACAGATACAGAATTTTGTATTTTCTTTTTGTGTGTATGTATATATATATATAGCTATATGTAAATAGCATTGGGGTGGCTATCTCTGCAGCTGGACTTCCCGAGGGGCTTCCTCAGTCCGTGTTTTCACCATCAGCTCTGGGTGGGTCTTTCCACTCCGCTTCCTTCCAAGCTCCGGGCTCCCCCCACTCAGGAAAACGGGAACCAGCTTCCTCCAAGGACACAGGGTTTCGCCAACCTGTGGAAATAAAGATTTGTTTTTCTGTCAGTGCAGTCTGGCTTCCGGGGTGATGTCAGTGCAGAAGGGGAGGGGGAGAGGGGGATTTGCAACACAAAGCTCTGATTGGGAAAGAAAGGGCTCCTCTTCTCACAGTCCCAGAGGCTCTGTCCATGTGGCAGTCACAGCCTTCCTTACCTGAGTGCACCAACCATACCCCCCCCCACACACACACACACCTGCTTTCAGACCTGTACATTTGCATGGGCATCATCTGTGACTAGAAACAGAATTGGAGCCAGGCGTGGGAGCGCACGCCTTTGATCCCTGGACTTGGAGAGGCAGAGGCAGGCAGATCTCTGTGAGTTCAAGGCCAGCCTGGTCTACACAGTGAGTTCCAGGATAGCCAGAGCTACATAGAGAAACTCTATGTAGACTAGCATGCAAGAAACCTCTGGTTCCACCCCCAGCACTGCAGGAAATCATACATGGTCATGCATGCCTTGGAAGGCAGAGGAAGGAGGATCAGGAGTACAAGGTCATTCTTGGCCAGTCCCAGAAACTAGGAAGTTCCAGGTGAGTCCATTTGATGACATAAGATCCTGTCTGGGGGTGAGGAGGTGGGATGAATTGAATTTGGGCCCTGAAGGTAAGTACCACTCTCTATACCAAAACTAAAATGTTTATTAATAGGAATAGATAAATGACAGGTAGATGATTGATAGGTAAATAATTGATAAATGGTGGGTGTGAGGTAGGTAGGTCAGTAGTTAGGTAGTCAGTAGGTAGATGGAGAATGAAAATCCAGAGGCTCATTATCCTTCCCTATTTGGAAGCAGCCTATTCGTCTGCTTGGCTCACACCTCCATCTCCCCATGTTCCAGACAGAGCTAGTTTTCTCACTCATCCATACATGCACACACACCCCAGTGCCCTGTGCTATGAGCCACTGCTGTGTCCCTTTCCCGTGGGAAGTTCCAGGGCCACAGGGGTGGTGTGTGTGTGGGAGAAGCTCTTATTACTTCTCTCCTGAAGAGCAGGTGCAGTCTGTGGAAACATGGGCAGGAGAGGCAGCACATAGGCCCCCAGAGAGAGATAGATCCCTACTGAGAATCGGATTCCTAAGAATCAGCCAGGATACAATGAGGCTCTCTTGGGGCTGAGTATGGGGGAGGAGATAGAGCTAGCAGGCGAGTGAGCGAGCGCACGCCCCAAACATCAAAAACTAGCACCCAGGAAACACGGCCTGCTCCAGTGAGAAGATTGTCTGGTCAAGGCTGGAGGCGGCACCAATCAATTAGTATAAACCCAAGTGGTTAGAAGGCAGTTTGATAACACGTCTATTTAGCCAAACAGGAATAATAGGGTTCCATCTTGGTCTCCCCAGAAAAGGGTTCTTGATCCAATTTACCAGAACCAGACAAGAGTTCCCTCCGGTGGGACAGGCCTCAAATGCAACTGTAAAGTGGTTGGTTGCTGGCATAGCGTTCATGCCATTATTGTCCTAGAGGTTAAAACACTGAAAATAAGTGATGGTGGAGTGTTTAACCCCCCCCCCACACACACCCATGGGGACACATATCACAACTCCTCAAAGGCCCAGGAGACATCACCAAAGGGGGTCAGAAAGAGCTGGGGAGGAGAGACTGTGTATCAAAAAGATGTCTTGTGGACATGACATGGCCGTCCGACTTCTGGCAAGACTGGGACCATCAACGTTTCATCATGGATGGGGAAGGGACTTAGGGGTCTCCACCCATCCCAGAGGGACTCCTGAATGGATACTGGTGGGAAGGCATCACACTGTCCTCAGTGGTGTAGCCACAGATAGCCTGTCATTGCTCCACCGAGAAGCTTCTCGCCCACACTTGGGCTGGTCAGTCTAATTAAATTCAGTGGACCGTGGATTTCAAGAAGACCTGGAGATGGGAGGAGACCTTGTTGAGAGGAAGGGTGTCAGTGGGAGAGGGAGGGGGGAATGAGGGAGGAGAACTGGGGGTGAAAATGTCTAAAGCTCATTATGTAAACATTTGAAACTACCAATGAAAAGATACGGGGGGGGGGGGGGGGACTTGTGCACAGACATTCATAGCTTCATGCAAACACCCAAATGTGCATCAGAGATGAATGGATTGAGTGCAATGTGGTCGGCTCAGGCCATGGAATATTATGTGGCCATAAAAAGGGAATGAACTACAGATTCATACACAAGATGGATCAAACTTGAAAACGTTATGCTAAGTGAAAGAAACCAGGAAGAAGATGAAAGATGGAGTATCATGCATTTACATGAAGGATTCACCAGAGGAGGCACCGTCTTTGGACCCCGAGAGCAGAGTGATGGTTGCTTAGGGATGTGAGGAATGGGATGTCCTGGGGAGTCATTGTTCATAGACACTTTCTTTTCTGCTTGCTGTTTGATAAGACAAGATCTACCCAGGTAGCCCAGGCTGGCCTAAAACTCACAATTTTCCTGTCTCCACCTCTCCAGTACTAGGATTTGAGGTATGCACAGCCACCCCTGGAAGATTTCAGAAGCGAAGGTGACAGAGGTTATCAGAGGAGACACAAACAGGAAGAACGCACTCCATAGTTGTTGAGAGAAAGCCCACAGATCTTTATTTCCCGATTGGAAAAAGTCCCGAATGTTGGTGGGTATCTGTGGTGTCTAGCTTCCTGCTGAGTGTGGCCAGAAGGGGACACAGAGACCTTAGACCCTGGATACTTACTCTTCAGGGGACTTTCTCACTGGTCACAGACCAAAAAACCCCAGCTCCAGCCCCACTGTGCCCTGTTGAGTGGTGACAGCCCCCCTCTATTGCCAACCTCGGGGCCCCACATCACTCTAAGCCCTGTTCACATCTCTGTCTTGAACCCTTGTCAACCTCTCCTCTGATGACTCAGGTTGGGGCTAGCCTCTGCCTCTTCCCTGGACAAGGGACCGATGCTCATCGGACTTCACGACGGTGAGTCAAACACACGGTCCCCACAGTCCACATCAGTGGGACCCAAATTGGTGACTTCACACTCTAGAGACTTGCTTAGGCACTGGCAGAAGAAGATTCTTAGCCACCCATCTGCTAACACCCTTTCCCCACGAGGAGGATGTGGCACACCAGGATCCCTACACTCTCCTGGGGCTACTTTCTACCTTCTGAGAATCTAGAACTGAAGCCATCAATTGACTCAACTGATACACACACCTGACTTAGTTTATGAAAACTAGCTTTGATGGCACCTAAAAAGTCTCACTTGGTCGATTCCTGACCACAAGGCTATGGGACGGAAATCAGCAGAGCCCACAGCAGTAATGGAGACAGTTGGGGGGTCCTGTGGCACCCATGTAATCCCGGCATGCAGGAGGTGGAGGCAGGAGGATGGAGCAATGGAGAAAGTGGTAGGAATACTTACGGGTACCTACCGTGTTCATAGAGTTCTGACTATGTGCTAAGCCTTGATCTCTGTGCTAATGAGGGGCAGGGTCCCTTGATGTGCCTTTCAGTATTACCGGGGAAGGCATGACAGGTCAGAGGTCAATGCTTGTGGTGGTTTAAATGAGAAATGTTCCCCCTGTAGCTCACATTTGAACACTTAGTCACCAAATGGTGTTTATAGCTTATATAGAAATCAGGATGGAGCTCTGTGTTGGTTAGCTCTTGTCAATGAAACACAAATTACAGTCACCCAAAAGAGGGAATGACCCTTAAGGAATTGTGCCCACTAGATTGGCCTGTAGCAAACCCATGATGCATTTTCTTGATTGATGATTGATGGGGGAGGACCCAGCCCAATGTGGGCGGTGCCGCCCGCGGGCAGGTTAGTCCTAGATTGTATAAGAAAGCAGGTTGAGCAATCTAAGGTGAGCAAGCCAGTAAGCAGCACTCCTCCATGGCCTCTGCTTCAGTTCCTGCCTCCAGGTTCCTGCCTTGGCTTCCCTGAGTGATAGGCTACAAGGTATACGATGAGGTATACGATGAAATAAACCCTCTCCTCCCCAAGTTATCACAGCAACAGAGAAGCGGACAGGGCAAGCCCTACCCACCAAGGCAGCCTCTGAGAAGACCCAGCATGTGAACTGAGACTTGAGACACAAGCATGGCCTTTCCCATCTATAAGAGGGATCATGAAAGCGAACCGGAACAACCGGGATTCAGACAAATGGGGAGGGAACCGCACCAGAAAGCAACAGGAACCCGTGTTGCATCGGACGTTTTTTTTCTAAGTAGCCAGCAACTGGGCTGACTTGCCTGTCCTACCTGGAAATCACTGAGCATGGAAGGAATCTCAGGGTTTCCCAGGTCAGCTTTCGGTCACCTTAACAAAGTATCGGAGGTAATACCAAGAGGGAAGGTTTATTTTGGCTGGCTGCTTGGACTTCATTGCTTTGAGGCTGGGATGTGGGATACTGCAAAGCTGCTTTCCTCATGTGGACCAGGAAACAAGAGAGAGGAAGAGCCCGGGGTCCCAATATCCTCAAGGATACACCTAACAGTGACTGGAAGACCTTCCACCGGGCCCCAACACTTAAAAGGTCTACCATCTTGAGGTAGCACAATAGCATAAAACAAGGCCTTTACACATTCCACCTTCGCCTTCTGGGGATGCATCCAAGCCACGGCCCTGCAGCTGCCAAAGGGACCCGCTCTAGGGCCTGTTAAATCACTGTTTACTGAGTGATATCCACAGAGACACGAGCCCCAGAAACAACTGTGTGTACCAATAATGAGCATGTGTCCCTCACATTGTAGTCTCCATGTGACCGAGTCCCACAGTGAGGGGTTGGCCTGGGTGTGCATTTTTTTTTTTTTTTGAGGGTTGCAGATCTCACTTGTAGGACACATATGCCCAAAGACCCCCTTCCAGCTTGATCTATAACCACAGCAGCCACGTAAAAGGACTTAAAAGTGTTTCCCCAACAGAAGGTTGGATTGGCAAAGTAAACTACATGTGGATTAGAAAGATATAAACCGGGGCTGGAGAGATGGCTCAGTGGTTAAAGAGCACTGGCTGCTCTTCCAGAG